ACACCCCTTCGGGTGCAATCGTCGCAGAAAACAGACTAATTGTCGGTTCTACGTACCCATGCAGACGGCAAAAATTGAACGACCAAATTGGTCAACTCATAGCCGTCTGACCAAAATGACCTATTAAGAACGATAAAGTTTCCAGATACCGGATGCCCAAAGGCATCAGTCGGTCACCGGCTGAAGTTCTCACTTAGGTTATTTATTCTAAAAATTGCACTTCCCACCCCAATGGGGGCAAAAGAGTTGTTCAATGGCTACGAAATCTCTACCAAGACGGACAAACGCCGTCTGGGTAGTGATTGGAGCGCCTGTTGGTGTACGGCTGTGCACTTGGTTTGGGGCAATCACTATTGTGATTGATTGACTTACAAACATATCATGCTCTTTGCAGCATCAGACGTTTTCAAGTTAATCAACCAACTCCACTTGAAACCAATCACACAGCCGTCCAGGGGCAAGGACAGCCAGACTATTGATTAGTTAGGCAAAAAATCGCCGCATGCTTTTGATAAGTTAGGCAAAAATGAAAAAGTAAAATATTCGCAAAAATTGAAATACAAATTAAAAATGATCAAAACCGACTCAGTCGGTGCATTTCATTAAAGTCCACCCAACCAAACGGTTTTGATGGATCAAATGTTAACCGGACCCCGTCCGGGAGAAAGAGAAATTGTTAATTAACCCGACTCCTTAGCCGGTAAATACAAATATACTCGGCACGCAGGCCGGAAAAACAAGTTTTGGCATACTGCCGCTGAATAAAAGAAAAAGACAAAAAAAAACAGAGATTGACATACTGCCGCTGAAAAGTCACTTCTGGCCTGCAGGCGGCTCCTCCTGGTCCTCTTCCTCACCGTCTCAGGGAATCTCTTGCGCTTCACCCGGACCAGGTAGCTGAGGCACGAGGGGCACATTGTTGGCATTAACCCAGGCGTCGAAGGACTCAGGCTCTAGATCACCCTTCTCTCTCAGGTACACCACGTCCTCGGCATACCTGTGGGCCAATGCCCAGATGTTGTAATCCGCGTCTGGGTACAAGGCAGCCCAGGCGATCTTCATTCGGGCATCATTGTCAGCGTCACTCTCAGCAACTAGACGGTTTTGCTCCGCCTCCAGGGTTGCTGCAAAGTTTATCTGAGCCTGAGCAGCCTCCTTCTCCAGCTTCTCAACCTTGGTTTTCAGGTTGGTGTTCTCTTCAGAAACACCCTGAAGTTTGCCAAGGTCCGTCTGGGCCTTCTTGAGCGCCTCATCAGCCTTTTTGGCGCTCTCATCCGCCTTCTTCCTGGCCTCCTCTGCCTTCTTCTGGGCCGTCTCAGCATTACCCGCCCGCTGTTTGGCCGTCTCCAGATCCGCTTCCAGCTGCTGGATTCTAGACGCCTGTGTCATTATGATTGCTTTAGTTTCAAGTTCATTTACGATAGTAGAGTGTAAAGCAATATTGTCAGCGTCTTTGGCGGACTTCTTCGCCCTTTTTACCTCTTCCCGTTTGCGGGAATAAGGACGTTTGAGCCCGTCCACCCGCAGCATGGCCTGCAAAAAGCAAGCGGTATAAGTATTGCAGGCGGGATAAAACACTTGGAAAAAATAAATTGAATTGACAAGTTTCCTACCTCAACCAGAAGGGATAGAATGCGTTCAAGGTTGAACGTCTCTATCCCAGGGATACTGTCTTTATCCCTCTTCCGAACGGCTTCCAGCATGGCCTTGGCATGCTTCTGGACGTCTGGCCAGTGGGGAGATTGATCTGCACCACAATCAATACGTGATGAGTGCGAAACTAAGGCAGCACCTATTTGTTGCCGACCGTCTGAAGATGACGTCTGTTGAGAATGGGATTTCACCCGCAAAGGCCACCCCAGCTCAAGCGGGGATTCAAAAGGGTTCTTACCTTCAGAGCCGTCCAAGCGGGAACTGCTTGCAGGCGTGGTGAACCCCGCGGCCGCTGATAAGGGGTTGACGAGATCAAGGCACACGCTGCCGCCTATCTTCTCGTTTCGCCCCGCTTTCCGCATCTGCTGATGCCCGGCTGAGGCGCCAGGAGTTGACGCAGAGGTGGATTTTTTTATTTTGTTGAGAACGGCGGGGGTCTCCTCCCTAGCCCGTTTGAGTTGTTTCTCAAACGACTTTCCAACCTCTCCTCCCTGCAAAAATAACCAAAGTTAAGGTTAGCATCCGGGAAAAATAATTTTAAAAGATCAACTTATGAAAGGGGCAGGCGTTTGTTACCTTGGCTTTGACCTCAGCCGCAGCCTTTTCCGCAAGCGCCTTGCGGATGGCTGCAGAGGATCGCTTGGGGGTTTTTCTCCGTCTGCAACATGTTTAATGCTTCTTCTGCAAAAAGAAGGAAATTGGTCAATATCATAAATCAAATTCGATAGAAAAATACTACAGACAGATATAAACTCAGGCGCATACGTTTGGTAAACATGTGCCCTAGCCCGCAGGCGGCTAGGAAACTCTCGTCCCTGAACCATGCGCTCTTGGGGATCCAGTTCTTGGGGACTTTTATTGTTTCCCCGGTTGACAAGGTCGCGTCTGTGAGACCAAAAAAGTCTTGTCAAAGTCTTCCTCTAGGATCCGGGGAAGAGCGCACTTCCGGCCCAACAAGTCGGGCTTCTTATTGTACAGATGGAATTCATAATTCTCCCGTCTGGTTGGAGCTGACATCAGGTAGAACCTGTGCTTCCAGCCGTCGAATTTCGAGACCTTGTCCAAGGTCATCATATATTGGGGCTGTGTGGTTAGAGTGTACCACGCCCTCCAGCCGCCTGGGCTTCTCCTAAGATAATGCATACTAGCAAAAGCCTCCCAGTCGGGGTTAAGCCCCTGGAACTCGCAAGCGGCAACATACCCCAGAATGTTTGTCCAAAAGTTGGGGGTAAGTTACCAGACTCCGAGGCCGTAGCCTCTCAAAATTGCCTTCACCGCCTGGTGAAGGGGAAAGCGGAGACCAGCCTTGAACGCCGCCTCATAACAGCCAAAATAGTTGTTGGCGTTCTCTTGATCGTCCTCCCAGGCAACGGTGCCATTCTCAGGCGGCACCCGGATCCTATACCCGTCTCCTAGCGGGTGCATTTTAGTAAAATTCTTCAAGTTTTCCTCCATTTGGATCCGGTCCTTGGAGGAGACGTGGATGTTGAAGGGATCATCCTTCTCGTTCCACTTTTTCCTTTCTTCCTCCTCGCTATCCGGAAGCGGGGGTAAATCGTCACTACTCTCAGAGGTGGAGGCGGAGCTGTCGCTCTCCGTCTCCTCCTCACTTTGACTCAAGGGGGCAGAGACAGCCTCGTCGCCGCCTTGGTCGCATTCCTCCAAGAAGGAATCAGCAGGAGTTGAAGGGGTGCGTGGAGGGGATCTCTCCAGAGCCGTCTGGTCTCCCTGACCAGACGTTTCTCCCTCAGGCGTTTGGCCGCCTGAGCCTTCGCTCTTGTAATTTGGATCAGTTGCCGTCTGCATTGTCCGAGCCATGGTGTCCTGCACAGACACATAACTGGTCGGAATCCAAGGCAAAGGGTGGTCCCAACACCCCGAGACGGCACTCCCAGTCCAAGACTCAGCCGTCCCTGGTGACCAGCTGGACTCTAACCTAGGCTGTGCCGTGTGTGTTGGTGATGCATCCATTTATTGCAAGAAATATGTACAAGCGGTGAAAAAAGAAAAAGAGCTGAGAGAGGCAGAGACGGTACCTTTTGAAGTGAAATCTGAAACTAGGCGGATCCGGCTGGGTCAGTGGAAAACGAGCTCTCTTGCTTGCGCCTGACTCAGACGGATGACTTCTACTCTCTCAAAGTATTCTCTCTAGAAATTTTTTGTAAACGTACAAAATTATAAGGGTAAAACGGATATATATAGAGGGTAAATATGGGGGCATTTCCGTAATTTACCCGGAAGGTGAACGGTTACTCTTTAATGGTAAAATTACCGCCAATAGGAGCGTGACAAGTGTCACAGATGCCACGTGGCATGCCACATCACATCTGTGAGGGGCAAATGTTTAGGGTAATTTTACCCCGCCACGTGGTCCAATCAGAGGATGACACGTGTCAGCCTCAGGATGGCCCAAAGTGGACCAATCCCTGCTTGACACGTGTCACTCCAGAAAATAAGGGGAAAAGGCGGCCTTCAGGCCCAAATCCCGAGAAAGCCGCAAAACGGCGCAGCCCACCAATGATTAGGGTTCAGTGACCTAATCAAGGGCACAAATCCAAAAGACCCTATAAATAGGGAGATGTCCCTCATTTTGAGGGCACGTTTTTACCATCTATTACACTAGCATTCTCTCACATCAGAGAAACACCTGATCTTGGAATCCGAGTAGATACCCACCTAAATTTCCGTCCTCTTTATTCCTTTTCGAGTTACTAACTTGACCGTCGGAGGCGGAGCTCCAACCACCCGGAGTCTCCGTTATTTTGCAGGTACAGCTCGACCGGATCAGACTTCGTGTTATAACTCTCCCGAGGGACAAAAACACCCAAAACAGTTACCATCCATGGTAACCGATTTTGGGCTCCGGTTACCACGCACGGTAACCGATTTTGGGCTCCAGTTACCGTGCACCTTAACCGATTCTATGGTAACCGGAGCCCAAAATAGATTGGGCTCCGATTACCATACACGGTAATTGATTTTGGGCTTTGGTTACCGTGATTGCCTGAAATTTATTATAAAAAATTAAAAAAAAAGGAGGGAAGATGGTGGGTCGTCGGTGCGGTGGTGATCGTCGCCGGTTAGTGTGGTGGTGGTGTCAAGGTGTTAGTGATTGATGGCAAGAGGGAAGATAGTAGTGAACTACTAAGGACATGGTTGTCCATTCACACTAAATGTCGGCAGTTTTGATAATTTTGGATGGCGGTATTTAACACCAACCATTATGTTGGAATTTTCATGCAGAGATGTCCTGCAGTCCTATCCAATTCATTTAGCAATTGATAGATAAAAAATGAACTTATATGAAGATTCCATTTAAACAAACTCATACACAAATTCATCAGCAATAACAACCCAAAATCATGAAACTTATATATGAGATGAAAAATATAGAGTAGAAAATACGATATAAGAGAGAACTCTCATGGTTTTGTTTTCTTGAGTGCTAGGAAAGTCGAATTTAAACATTTAACCTCACTCTATCAAATTAGGTTTTCATTCCTTAGAGGTTATGCAGTAAACACGAGATCCAAGATGTTGCACCTCCATACCAGCATCCTCACAACCCTTGAAGAAGAGAGTTTCATCGTCTTTTCCTATTCGTCGTCTCCAACTCATCAAAAATGCAGGATAAGGTAATCCTGATAAAGAGTTGCTCACAAGGAACTTAGTTTCTAAACATTAAGTTTACAAAGAAATCACAAGTAATTGACACAAAATGAAGAAAATAAAATGCTCAAAAAGAGAGTATCCCACCATCCTGCTTATTTTGAGGTAACATATTCATGTTCCCTTTCGGTTGGTAAACCTTTAGAAGGAAAGATAAGGTCTTGATCAAGTTTGGATATTGTTTCACATCTACAAAAAAGAGAGTAAAGTTGCAGTATTACTACAAGGGATCAAGTTTAATTTGGATAATGTTTCATATCTAAAAAAAAAAAAAGAGAGTAAAAATGGAATATAAGTAGAAGGAATAGCCCAACAAAGACAACGATAATAAAAGAGTAAAAATGCAACACAAATTCTTATAGCCATTGTGAGTGCTATATATAGGGGTTACCCAATCATTATTCAGGGGTTATTTTGTTAGTTACAAGGGCACTCAAAAAAGCAGTATTTTAGGGGTTACCCGATCATTATTCAGGAGTTATTTTGTTAGTTACAAGGGCACGATAATAAAATCAGTGTTAAAGGAGTTACTCGGTCAGTATTTTAGGGGTTACTTTATTCTTTTACAAACAACCGCACACAAGAGGCGTTCAAAAAAGCATTATGGAATATTATTAGAAGAATAGCCCAACAAAGACAATGATATTCCTATAACAAAAAGAGTCGGCTATTTATTTATGGTCAAAGAGATTAGTGCTTAAAATGAAAAGGATGACAAGGAATCATCATATCCATTTAGTTTATTTTATTATTATTAACGGCCATGGTTAAATACATAAAACACTTTTGTACAAATGTTTATAGCTGAATGTGCATTTTTATTTTTATTGTAATTTAAATGTGCAACTTTTTCATCATGTGCATAGTTCTACATCAAGCTCTCCACTAACTTTTAGTTCCAAATTAAATATATGCACATTAAGCTAAAAATATACTCAGATTGAATACAAAAAAGTTGCACATTTAACCATTGATCCATCTTAAGAATCTTCTTATTGAATATTTTCAAGTGATTTTGTGACTTAAAAGGTCTAAACTATCCTCACATTCATTATGCAAGTTAATTTACTTATATTAACTTTATCAAAGTAGTAAATCCAATAAAACCATACTCCCTCCATTTTTAAATACTTGCTCCATTTCTCCATACGCGGAGTTTTGGAGAAATTGTAGAAAGTAATAAAATATGGAGGTAGTGGGGTTGGTGGAAGAATAAAAAATTTTATAAACCCAAAAGTAGTGGATAGAATTGAAGGAGAGAATAAGAATTAATATTGTTGGGTCCACTTTGTGAGATATATTAATTAAATATTGTAAAAACTTTCCAAATAAAAAAATGAAGTATTTAAAAACGGAAAAATAGAGCAAGTATTTAAAAACGGAGGGAATACTTCTTTAATATTTCTTAGTGTGGTAAATGAGGGGAAAAAAGCAACAATGCAGTACAAAGCACAACAATAATAGGAAGAATAAGAAGCAAAAAAACACACGAATTATACGTGGAAAACCCTTTCAATGTGAAGAGTAGGGGTGATAATGTGACTAAGCTATCCATAAACTATTAGTTAAGGGTTCGTTGGGCATTGCTGTGGTTTTCTGTTTTTTGGTTTTTGGTTTTTTGTATTCTAAAAGTATAAGATATGTGTCCCATAATGAATCAAAAATTATATAAACTTATTAAAATTATGATAATTTTGAAAACTGACAATAGAAAAGTGGAAACACCTTTTTCTTGTTTTCTGTTTTTGGTTTTTGGTTTTCAAAAAAACAGGAAACTGAAAACCAAAATTGATGTCAAACAAGCCCTAAATGTAAATCTAAATGATCAAATTCATTTAGTAATTTTTACAATCAAATCAACACCTTTGACAACTCCATCCATTCATTGCCTACCGTTGCTGAGAATAAGAGTAAGGAAGAGAGCTTATGGCTTTAATGGGTCAAATTTGACATCAGAAGACCAAAAAAATCAGAAATTTTAGACACACCACAACAAAGTCGCCGTTTGATGGTAGGATTTCAAAGGCTGTCATCTTGTCAATGCTGCCTCGCCTTCATTGATTTAAAGGTGTGGTTAATGGGTTTTATTGGGAATGAAGTGGCAGTAGTGACGGTAGGGTAGAGGCTTTGATAGGGAGAGAGAAGAGTGAAGAAAATAAAGTGATGGAGGTGAAAGATGGTGAGTAGGTGTGGCAATTTGGGTCAGCAGGGCCATTTTGGTTATACTTAGAAATTATCAAAAATAGGGTAAAACAAAATATTATTACTAAATATGAAATTAGGGACAAATCGGGTCGAATTCGGATTGTTTGGGTTCGAGTTTCTCACGGTAACTTCGGGTCATGTTATTGGGTCGGGTTAGAGACTGTCAGCCCTAACAGTGAGGGTCAAGGGTGGAGAGGAAGGCTTTTCGGAGGATAGAGATTGACATTACCAACTCCGCCTGTGGGTTTTCCCTGCCAATCCCAAGCCTAAATAAAGGATGAGGGTTACGGTACAACTTTGTCACATTGCTTGACATGAGCCACAATTATTGAGAATAGTACTAGAATGGGTGACCTCTCGGGAAATTCTCATGTTAGTTCATGTAGAAGAAGAAAGATTGGCACTACCAAAAAAAATAAAAAATAAATAAAAAAAAAACCAATTTCTCTCTCCCCTTTACCCAGGTCACCTTAAAGGTGGTTATGTGATGGTAACTTGGTAAGGCCGCTTATTTTACAAAGTTCTCTTAACAGTCAAATATCTTTGAACAAGTATTGATTTTTTATTTTATTTTTTTAAAAAAAGAAATAATAAAATATAAAATAAATAAAAATGTTGATATTGAATGATTTCCCTACAAATTGTTCAAGCATAAATTTATTCCCTATATGCATCGATTTAACTGTTTAAATAATTATTCCCACGATGTTGTCCACGTAGGATTGGTTAAGCTTCGTAACTTTTTTTTCTAGTTAAACATAGAACCGTTAACGGTGATAGCGGTTCTATACATTAAAACTGCTAACACCATTAGCAATTCTAATAATTGAAAAACATAACACTATAATTTTTCTTCCACTTCTTTTTGTCTATTAGAACCGCTAACAATGTTAGCGGTTTTAATGTATAAAACCGCTATCACCGTCAATGGTTTTATGTTGAAACAAAAAAAAAATTACGAAGCTCTATCCAATCCTACGTGGACAACTTGTGGGAATAAGTTTTTAAACCGATGCACATAGGGAATAAATTTACCTTTACGCAATTTTTAGGGAAATTGTTCATTGATATTTTGAAAATACAAACTATATAAATTTAACAAGACCACACCTTATAAGGTATTCCTTGTACGTAGTAAATTAGTTAAAAAGTGCAGTCAAATTATACCCTAAAAATGTCATTAGTGGAAATTAATTTGGGATAGGAGTAGCTAATAATTTCAAAGGTAAATTGTATCCTACTTCTTGATTCAAATTACTAAATATAAGAGGACGCATTCAATCATATTAGGACATTAACATGCTAATGTTCCATTGAAAAAATATAAAAACAAATTTTTAAAAACCCAGTATTTATTAATTAATAATTCCTTTATTCTCTTTTTTACTTGATCCGCTTTGTCTTTTACATTATTCACCATTCCACCTTTGACACTCTTTTGTGAATTATATGTAAGGGAAAATATGTTCATGTGAGATCTAGTTAGAATTGTCTATATAACTTTTATAATTTATACTTATAGAGAATTAAAGTTATTGATGGTTAAAGTTGTGCATCGATAAGCGTGATAAAATAAACCGGTCAAGTAAAAAAACAGAGGAAGTACAAAGTATTTAATGTAAAAATTAACTTTGTAAGAGATCGCGTACTTACATAATAAGATATCACTTGCAATTATCAGATCCCAATTTGAATTGGCATTTGAAAAGGAGTCACCCCATGTATCTGAAAACAAGCAGCACCTTGTTATCACCTATCACTCATTAGCTTGAATATGAATGATTGAATTCACATACAGATTTTTCACAATTAGCCTTGATTTTTTCAACTTATTCAATGTATACCACCCAGCTTTTATTTATTCTAAATCTTTCTTATGTCTGCTATAAAACCCTACTTAACTCGTTAAATCATTAATTTACACAATGAATGCGAATCAACTCAAAAAAAATAAACTAGGTAAAGAGCTAGTTAAAGGCTAATGGGAAAGATAGGGAAGATTCAAAATAAGTTAAAAATTAAGTAGAGCTAAATAGGGGAGAAAAGGCACAAAAAAAGTTTCAAAAAAGAAAAAGTGTTGTTAATTAGGGGTTGTTTGGTCATTAAAGTCATATGGCACAATTCTTGCAAACTTAAGGGATATACGATGAGATATGAAATTTGAACAAGATATTTCCAAGTGAATGCTAAAAAAACTGAAAGTTGTATTCACACATTTGGCCACATAAAATTCCCAAGCAATAAAAGTTACATAATCCCAAATCTAAGGTTGCAGAAATTCGTTCACAATATAAAGGGTTTATAATGGCAACTAGAAATCAAGACGGAAACATGAAAGTCTTTTGAGGATTTAAGTAACTCACGCTTGACATGAGGAAGAGCAGGGACAACTTTGTTGATTTTGCAATTATAAGCTATATTATCCTCGATTTCTTGATCATCATAATCAGATGTTGTAACATCAATTTGTAACAGTTTTTTCAGAAAGATAGCCAAAGCGCCAGTTCCACTGCCATCAATGAATGAGAAATTAAGAACTCGTGAGCCCAATATCAACCCATAAATATGATAATTTCAAACAAAAGCAGAAGATCAGCTTCATACTAACAAATTGATTGCATTTATCTCTACAGTAACACTTTTTGTAATAGTACACCATTCTGTTTCAAGTTAAGCATTAATAGACAACTGGCAAAACACAATCTACTACACTTTTTCTCTAAGATAGAAAGTACATGTATGTATAAATATAAACAGAAGCTGCTAACAGACTCGGGGTGATTTAACAGAAATTATTGACACTGGCCTATCGAGTAAAATTCCAAACCATAGCTGATTATCGACACTGAGACAAAGATCTGAGGGAGGTAAGCCTTTAAGACAGGTAGAGGTCGAAAACAAAGGAAGAACAACATCAATATGAAATATGTTTCTACAAACTTATTAGGGCACAAACAAGAGGGTAAAAAGCCCAATATTCATCGCCACAATAATAAACGGTTTTACAAGTAGCACTAAACATATTCCAAATAACAAAGATGGTTTGCACATTAGATGCACACTAGCTTTTTATTTGTTGCGGAGACCCGAGAACAACATATTCAAGATTAAACAAAAATTCTTTGTTCCAATTCATCAAAACTCAAAATGAGTACATCACCAAACCAAAACTGCAGATTTAGTCATTTAGAAGCCTTAACATAAGACCTCAGCTTAAATCTTGACTAAGTTTGCCATTAATATAAATAATACATAAAATAAAAAGAAAGGGACATTACATGCCTCCCCAATTCAATGACATGCCTCCCTTCTATCATAGACCGCTTTTGGACCAACCATTCAGAAAAAGCAAATGTACCTGGCCAGAGCAAATTTGCATTCAGCTGGTGGAAGGAGAATTCCCGAACGATCAACTCCTGCAATTGCAAGAAACACAAAACTAAAGATGTTGAATAAGACATTAAAGATGGACCATTTCCTCCACATGCGAAAGCCCTGAAAACAGGAGCTTGAGGCATAAGGCATCACATAACAGTCAATATTTAAGTCATCAGATTTTAAAGCACTTTCCATTGCGGTAACATGTCTGACAACTGTAACCGATTCGTCAAATAAGAAACATATAATAGTTGGCCAACTATATACTGATGAACATTTCTTGCCACAGCATAAAATCAGACTAGTTAAGTATCAAATGGCTATCTGCTGAGTTCCAGTATGCTCAACCTATCTCCTTGCCTCTTGACCCCAACGCTAAGCTGTTAACCCCCTTTTCTTTGAGTCAAGCTAATGTGTACTGTGTAAGTAGTTGTTGCCTTAAACCTTCCACTTTGTAAATGGGGATTGGGGATGTCTGCTACTCCTGATATGGCTAGGAGGATTCATTCGTAAAACTCATGCGAAGGATGCAAATATGGCAGAGTACTTAGCAATTCTTTATGCTGCTGCCTGGTCTAAATGGAAACAATTGGATGACTTGCTCAAAAAATGTTGTGACTGGTATTAATGATTTGCAATTTTGCAAAGGATCAGAGATACATATTTCAACGATGCCTGGAGACCTGATGTTCTTTGGATTTTCAATTCTCCTGTTTTTGCTGAATGGGATAGCTCCTGTCTAGCTTCTTTATCTACTCTATTGATCCTATGTACTTTGATTGTAATGTGGATTTATATTTAGTTCCTGCTACTGGTACTTCTCTGAACTTTTGTAATTTAAGTGTCACTTTGACACATAATTAATCTATTCTACCCCTTCAACCAAAAAAAAAGAAGTAAGATGTGAGATTTAAAGCCTATCCATTTCTCTATTTTGAACAACTCTTTTTAAAGAATATTAATAGAGATTAATGTTACTCAAACTCTTCAATTCTCAAGTACCCATGTTGGAACTCTTAAGTCTCTAACACTCGATGACTATGAACACTTGATACTTCACATTGAGCCAAAAATATGATAAATTTTAAAAAATAGCAAACATTAATAAGTACACTTTGTCTAACATAGATACTTGAGTCCAAATAGTATAGTATAAAAAAGCATTAGTAACCCGCTGATAAGATATAAAAGCTATTGACCAAGATTTTTTATATAGTTTACTATAACATAATGATATGTCCAATTTATATAGTGTTTTACCCCCGTCCCTTGGTCATAATTAGTAGTGTTTTTGGCTATTTAGAGCCACTTTTATTACTAATTGGAGTTTTCTAGTGTTTTTGTAGTTTTGCTTGAGTTTTGTAGGAAATTGCACATTTGGAACGTTTTCCGGGTTTTTCATGAAGCAACTACGAGCATTAGGAGGACATGACCATCTTTGAAGCCCACGACCGGTCAGAGCCGGTGATTAAGGGCTCGGCATGTGATACCGGGGCATTTGGATCGAGCATTCAAGACCCGAAGAGGAAATCCGGATTGGGCAGAAGAATCAAGCCCAATCGAAGTCCAAGCCTCGAGAAAGATACCGGGCCTGATCGAGCAATAAAAACTACACTAGAAAGCAATAAAATCTATACTAGAAAGCAATAATATCTATACTAAAAAAACAATAAATAGAGAAAAGAGTTATCATATGTACAAGAATTCTACCCCCAAGCCAAATCAAGCTATGCCCTCATTGACTTGGGAGTGTAGCTAGGAGAAGCTACTCCTCGTCATCATCCTCCGGTAGCCTCCTCCATAACTCGAGCCGGCACCACCCTGGCTCGTACCAACACCACCATAGCCCGAACCACCTGCAAAGTAGTTAGGGTCTACATTTCCCCCCATTCCCCCAGGAGGAGCATCGCCCCCATAACCATGGACCGAAGAGTAGTCCACATAAGTACCAAAAGCTCCGGGGGTCTAATACCCTCCTTGGGGGTATTGGAACCAATCGAGAACTAATGCCTCGGGGGGAATGCCTCGGGGGGAATAACCCCTCGGCGTGCATAGTCGTCATACATAGGGTATAAACCCCTCCCGAGATTCCTCTCAACATGGCCTACCCTCCTATCTAAAGTGCCTAACCTAGAGTCTAGGTTTTGCACCATGCCCTCCACTCTCCCTTGCCCTCTCTCTATGCGGTCAAGTTGGCTCCTAAAAGCCGAAAAGTCATAAGGGGCATGGGGGTAGATATTATAATCGACAGAGGAGGTGGGCATGCCATAGGTGTAGGGTTGGGGTGGTGGTTGGTATTGGTGTGAATGGTGTTAGGGTGAATGGTGGGTTTGTGGTGAAAGGTGAGGCTCTTGGACCTCGCCTTGACCGTTTATCTCAAAAGTGTAGGAAGGCTTCTCCTTCTCAAATTTGGTCAAGGCGGGGTTGGGTAGCGTAAATGTCTGGTCTCTCCTACCCGATTCCCGGTGGACTATCCACCATGTCTCACCGCCCATAGGTTGCACCCAGTTAAGGCCCTCTAAGTATGCTAGGTCCATGAGGGTAAAACCCTCCACTTTCCTATGCCCGGTCGGGTTCCATCCTAGGTGTTTCACTGCTATATGGGTCACCAACCCCCCAAATTAGATAGGCGCCCTAGACCTACCCCCCTCGGCCGCCCTTTGAAAATGTTGGGCTATCCTATGTGGTATTTTTAGTTTTTCACCGTTAGAAATCATATAGGAAGCCAATAATTCAAGTTCATCCCTCCTAACGTTTGCCGATTCATGCCTCCCAAATATTGTGAGGCCGGCAAACCTTTGCCAAAACTTTGGGACGGGATGTTGAATCCACGTCCCTTTGGCATGTTGGAGGTTAAGCAAACCCTCCCCGGTGAGTCTTTTATAAACCACGGCAATGTGATCTTGGGAGGGTTCAATAGGCTTATCCGATTTAAGCTCAAACAATTTACCAAATTCTTTTAAAGTTAACTGCACATCATTGTTTAGCAATCGGAATTTGACATGAGTGATTAAAGCATTAGTTTTAATAACATTGAAGCTAGAAATAAATTCTAATGTCAAATAATCATAGGTATCATAATGCATTTGAAAAAATCCACTCATTCTTATACCTTTCTCTACCGGTTTATCAAGTCCTAGCCTAGACAACGTAGGATGATGTACAAATCGAGTAGAGATTACCTGTCTCTGGATGAGGTTGAGCATCCTAGCTCGTTGTTCGGTTGAGGTTATGACAACTTCCTCCCATCCCGATATTTGAAGCTCCGGGTCGACCATCGGTTGTTGTTGTTGTTGCCTAGAACCTTCACCCCTTTGTTGTCTAGATCTCTTTGAAGCTATTTTAAGTGAAAAAGTTAGGAATTGAAGCTTTCTCTCTCTAAGGGTTTTGAGAAATCTTGAGAGAAAGTGGTAGAAATTTGGTGGAAATTGTAGAGGAGGGTTTTGGAGTGAGGAATATGTGAAAATTTTTGGGTTTTGGTGGATGAATTTGAGGAAATCTTGAAAGGAAGGTTTTCTTTTTCTTTCTTACTCCTTCTTCATTCACACTTTCTCTCTCTAAAACCTCCATTTTCAAACCTCCAAACTCACTTTCCTTTCGAGATCTCCTCAAATTCATCCATCAAAACCCAAAAATTTTCGCATATTCTACATCCCAAAACCTTCCTCTACATTTTCCACCAAATTTCTACCACTTTCTCTCAAGATTTCTCAAAACCCATAGAGAGAGAAAGCTTCAATTCTTAACTTTTTCACTTAAAATAGCTTCAAAGAGATCTAGACAACAAGGGGTGAAGGTTCTAGGCAACAACAACAACCGATGGTCGACCCGAAGCTTCAAATACCGGGATGGGAGGAAGTTGTCATGACCTCAACCGAACGGTCGACTCGAAGCTTCAAATACCGGGATGGGAGGAAGTTGTCATGACCTCAACCGAACAACGAACTGGGATGCTCAACCTCCTCATCCAGAGGCAGGTAATCTCTACTCGATTTGTACATCATCCTACGTTGTCTAGGCTAGGACTTGATAAACCGGTAGAGAAATTGTTTAAAGGTATAAGAATAAGTGGATTTTTCCAAATGCATTATGATACCTATGATTATTTGACATTAGAATTTATTTCTAGCTTCAATGTTTTTAAAACTAATGCTTTAATCACTCATGTCCAATTCCGATTGCTAAACAATGATGTGCGGTTAACTTTAAAAGAATTTGGTAAATTGTTTGAGCTTAAATCGGATAAGCCTATTAAACCCTCCCAAGATCACATTGTTGTGGTCTATAAAAGACTCACGGGGGAGGGTTTGCTTAACCTCCAACATGCCAAAGGGACGTGGATTCAATATCCCGTCCCAAAGTTTTGGCAAAGGTTTGTCGGCCTCACAATCTTTGGGAGGCATGAACCGGCAAACGTTAGGAGGGATGAACTTGAATTGTTGGCTTCCTATATGATTCCTAACGCTGAAAAACTAAACATACCACATAGGATAGCCGAACATTTTCAAAGGGCGGCCAATGCGGCCGAAGGGGGTAGGCCTAGGGCGCCTATCTACTTTCGGGGGTTGGTGACTCATATAGCATTGAAACACCTAGGATGGAACCCGACCGGGCATAGGAAAGTGGAGGGTTCTACCCTCATGGACCTAGCATACTTAGGGGGCCTTAACTGGGTGCAACCTATGGGCGGTGAGACATGGTGGATAGTCCACTGGGAATCGGGTAGGAGAGACCAGGCATTTACGCTACCCAACTCCGCCTTGACCAAATTTGAGAAGGGGAAGCCTTTCTGGAGATAAATGGTCAAGGCGAGGTCCAAGATCCTCACCTTTCACCACAACCCCACCATTCACCCCAATACCAACCACCACCCCATCCCCCCTACACCTATGGCATGCCCACCTCCTCCGTCGATTATAATATCGACCCCATGCCCCTTATGACTTTTCGGCTTTTAGGAGCCAACTTGACCGCATAGAGAGAGGGCAAGGCAGAGTGGAGGGCATAGTGCAAAACCTAGACTCTAAGTTAGGCACTTTAGATAGGAGGGTAGGCCATGTTGAGAGGAACCTCGGGAGGGGTTTATACCCTATGTATGACGACTACGCACGCCGAGGGGCTAGGCATTAGTTCCCAATTGGTTCCAATACCCCCAAGGAGGGTATTCGAACCCCGAAGCTTTTGGTACTTATGTGGACTACTCTTCAGTCCATGTTTATGGGGGCGATACTCCTTTTGGGGGATTGGAGGAAATGTAGACCCTAACTACTTTGCAGGTGATTCGGGCTATGGTGGTGTTGGTACGAGCCAGGGTGGTGCCGGCTCGAGTTATGAAGGAGGCTACCAGAGGATGATGACGAGGAGTAGCTTCTCCTAGCTACACTCCCAAGTCAATGAGGGCATTGCTTGATTTGGCTTGGGGGGGAGATTTCTTGTACATATGGTAACTCTTTCTCTCTTTTCTCTATTTATTGCTTTTCTAGTATAGATTTTATTGATTTCTAGTGTAGTTTTTATTGCTTTCCTTTATGAAAAAAATACAAAAAAAATTGAAAAATAAAAAAATTTAAAAATACGTTCCAATGAATTGTAAATCATGCTTCCCTGTGTCCCATATTTGGAAAATATTGTTTTGATTCTTGGTATATGATAATGAGCTTTGTGAATTTGTTGATCATGATTTGAAGTTTAATTGTTTGGATGCCTAAACATGCGTCAATTTTGCCAACTATTTGTGAATATAGTGCTTGACTAGTTGATTTGGTTAGGAATGTGTGATAGTTCGTGGTATGTCAAGGAATTTGAGTATTGGTTTGCAACTATTAGTAATGTTTGTATGGCTCAATATTATGCACATGGAGGAGGACGAATGCATTTGTTCTCTTATGTAGCCTTCAGACGATATTAGATACATTTGTTCCCTTCTTGTTACCCATGTTGTTGCTTGTGCCCTTTTTATTGTTTATTTAGCCACATTACAAGCCTATATGAGACCCATTGGTTACTAATCCCAAGCTTGGCTTGAGGGAGCTATTAGTTGGTGAGATGAGGGAGTTGTGGTGTGCATATTATTTGCACAATGTGGGAATAAAAGGAGAGTGATTGTTCTTTTGATATTATGGTTGGAAAATATTGATGTTTTGTATTTCAAAGTTGAAAATTTCCAATATGAGATAAAAAGAATAAAAAGAGCAAAGGAAAAAAAAAAAATTGTTTCAAATGTTCAATTGTTCTATATGAAGGTTGCTTAAGAAAAAGGAAAAAAAAAAAAAAGAATAAGTAGTTCAAAGTTTGTTTTAATTCACTCTATTTCCTATTATCATACTTTGTGAGTGAATATGTAAGTGTTGGGATTATTGTTATGTATATGATTGCTTGGTGAATTTTTGTGGAGTTAAGTTGTGATTGGAGATGTTTTGGTCATCACTTATTTTTTACCTTGGGTTTTATTAGGATATGGCTTTACTCACACATTTTCCTAAATTTATCCTACCCTCTACCCCCAGCCTTACATTACAAGCTTTAAAGACCTTCCGACCTTTGAGCATAAGAGTGGTATGAATGTGAAAGTGTTGTTTATCAATGCAAGTTATGATTTGACATATTTCGAGTCGACTAGTAGGTTGAGCGTACATTGTTTTAAACACGCGAGAGTGTGAGTTGGGAGGGCATTGTTCACATATAAAGGGGTTGGTTGGAGAACGATCGAGTACATCTTTTACTCGCCACATAAATAAGAGTTGAGTGTGTGAGCGCTAGTCTTGAATTCTATATGCTCATGTGGTTTGCTCTACTTGACAATTGTTGGAGAGGAAGAATGATTAGATGAATGAGATTAATTGACATTGAAGCATGTTCATTAGATTTGCCTTGAATCGTTTGTGCTTGATTTTGTTTACTTGGGATGAAGCATGTTTTATATGTTCATTGATGAGCCCTTTGCTTAGGGACAAGCAAAGGTTTGGCTTGGGGGAGTTTGATATGTCCAATTTATATAGTGTTTTACCCCCTAATTGGTTTTTTTAGTGTTTTTGTAAATTTGTTTGAGTTTTGTAGGAAATTGCACATTTGGAGCGTTTTTCGGGTTTTTCATGAAGCAACTATGAGCATTAGGAGGACATGACCATCTTTAAAGCCCCAACCGGTCAGAGCCGGTGATTAAGGGCTCGGTATGTGATATCGGGGCATTTGGATCGAGTATTCAAGACCCGAAGAGGAAATTCGGATTGGGCAGAAGAATCAAGCCTAGTCGAAGTCCCGAGAAAGAGACCGGGCCCGATCGGGCAAGCTTGCACCCGATCGGGCAAGCTTGCACCCGATCGGGCGGGCGCGCAAAAGACAGCACCAGCAAGAAGGCGCGTCCGATCGGGTGAGCATAGGCTTGATCGGGCGCGCACAGGAAGGCTCTGAAGAAAAAGGCGACCCCGATCGGACGGCCTTTCGGATCGGGCGCGTGTTTTTGGAGCCGAGTTTTTAGTTTTCAATTAGAATTTATTTTAGGGATGTTTAAGTACGATTTTTGTACGTAATTTTGATTACCTTCTCTTTTAGACTTTCTCTCTCTATTTAGAATATTTTCTCTCTCTTAAATTCTCTCAACTTTGTTCTTAATTCCACTCCTTAATCCAAATTTCTTTTGGTAACAGTTTCTTCTCTTTTAACTTAAGTTATTTTCTTTAATTCTTTCATCATGTCTTGTTTTATTGTTTTGATTAGTTTAGATTTAATTATGCTTGAGTAGTTTTATTTCTAGGGTTTATGGGGATCTAATAAATAATATGAAGGGGTAATTTGTGATTGTTGATTATCAATGCTTGATTATTTTCCTATCGATTGATTTAATGCCATGCAATTAGGTTTGGCCAGATTTAATTGTATGAGTTTAGCAATATTGATTCGAGATTCGAGAGATGAGAATTGATGTTTAGGCTTAGTTTCAACAGGCGGACTAATTTATAAATGGTTAAGTCGAGAATCGAGAGATGAGATTTAATACCGCTAAATTAATTCTGTGATTGTAATACGTAGCGAAAGCCCTTTATAATCTGATTAATTGATGCATTGATGATTGCTTATTATGATTTACAGAATATTGTTTATTAGTGAACCTATGCCCTAGGTTTTTCCTTCATTGATTTATCTCCTATTTTATTCCCTTCTTACTTTTACCTTTAGTAGTATAATTACTCTTTTACAACAAATTTGGTTATTTGATAATTAAGATTGCTTCTAATTAATTAGGAATAAATTGACTTGTTTTCCTGTGGTTCGACCCTTCTTCCCTATCTACATAGTTAGTGGATTTAGGTTTTATTTTTTATTAGGTGAATACGACTTGAGCCTGCCACATAACTTAAAACTTGCAAAAATTGTCCAATAATGACCAATCAGCACAACATAAAGTAAGCTCAATCCTTTCCTAGTTATCATTTAAAAGTGCATCCAACTCAAGTGCATAAAATGAAAAAAGGGGTTTCAGATAGCAAGATTCATTGACCACCTATGGGTCATTGATTGATATCACTTCCATAGGAGCTTAATATGATCATACTTGCACACATCATTACAAATTAATCCTTCCGTTAAGAAACAATAGTCTCATGTACAATTTCAAGATGTCTGGAAATAATAACCAAGTTCTCTAAAATAGTAATTGTTAATGACTGGGTTTTTTAAAATGTCCCTGTATATATAAAGTGAAGACGAGTTTGTTGATCTCAGCTTAATTATGCAGGATTTACACATTATTATAAAAGGTGGTTAATTCTGGAAAAAGCTACGGAGGAAGTAATTTGAACAATGCTATCATCCAGGAGTCTTTGAATATAACAGCACTTAAATGACAAATATGACAGACATCATGGTTCTGAATTTCTGATACAAATCAGAGAAACTCCAATATATCGAATGTACTTCCTTCGTTCTTTTATGTTAAATGAATAACCGAATAAGAAAAGTTGAGCATATAAGAAGTATAAAAAAAATAAAATATATAAAAATAAAATAAAATAAAATAAAATAAAAAAAAAAAACTTCTTTTATGTTCAACTCCCAGTTCCTATTTTGTTCTACATACTTGGCTTTATTCTATTTTAGCTTGCTCTTTTAATCGTTGCGTATACAGAGTAGAACATAGAAGACCAGATGAATACTACTTTATACATAATATACTTAGAAAAAAAAACTTGTTCTCGAATCAGATTCGTCTTTACATGATCTAAATAGAAGCAACTAGCCACCTACATGCCATATTTAAGTGAGCAAGCTCAATAAAACTGCTCTTTTTTTTTACTAGCCTTTTCATTTTAGCAAACTAGAAACAAAAAATTGAAATCAAACCAAACTAGCTACCAAATTAGTGATTTCAATTTGTTCCTAATAAACATCAAATGGTTTTACACTTTAAACTGCTCCTTTTTACTAGTCTTTTCATTTTACCAAACTAGCAACTCAAAACTGAAATCAGATTATAGTAGCAACAAAATTAGTGAACTCAATTTTTTTTCTAATAAAAATCAAATGATTTTACAATTGAATCTCTACAAATCTGAACTGCATTGCACTATAACAATTTTAAACTACATGCAAATTACAAAATTATTAAGGAAAAATATGCAATTGAATTGGGTATAGAAGAAATGAACTCACCATTCCTGGAAATTGATGGGTTCTTTCAACAAAATTTTGTGGAGTACTGGGTTCTTCATCTGCTCAAGTAAAAATGGCGGTAAAATTTGTAAGATAAGTTTAATTAAAAATTAATTACTTGGATTTGAAGAGAGATGTACCAGAAGAATTGTCAGAAGTGTTGCCGAAGAGGGAAGAAGGGGAGAATAGAGCAGTCTCCATTTCCGTACAACGAAAAACGGTGAATAAGACGGCGGAAATGCAGCGAGGTTCTGACTTTCAAACGCACCCTAATGATGCAATTAGGTTTGTAATTTAGGGGATGCGCTCGGGTGCATGATGCGCATGGTGCACCCGAGGTGTATGGGTTCATTTCATTGCACTTTTATATTTTAAAAATTGAATCTTGTTATGAAATAAAGGGAATATGAGAGGAATTTAGGGGAGAATAGATTAGTCTATCATTCCATTGAGCAGGGATGTATATATATATACATACAATAGCTAGGGTTTTCTTAGAGAACATTAAACCCTAAACCTAGAATGTACTAAATGGTACGTGAATATAATAGGCATCCACATAATATTTCATAACACTCCCCCTTGGATGTCCATTATCGAAGATTGTGTCTCATTAAAACCTTACTACGAAAAACTCTGTGGGATAAAAACATAGTAAAGAAAAAAGAGTACATCATTTTTCGTAATACGCTTGCAATGCTGCTTCATTAAAAACCTTACCAGAAAAACTCAATGTGGGACAAAACCATGGTCAAGGAAAAAAGAGTGCAGCGCGTATTTTCTCCCCCTGATAAATACATAACGTATTAACGTGAAATCTTTTAGTGTAAAAATCCGACGCGATATGGTTGAGTAACTTCTTCCATGTAGCAGAACATCATTTCTTGATGATTGATCCTTTCAAATTGAACTTGAATCTTCAAATCTTCAAATGGACTTATTGAGCCATCTTCATTTCTTCATACTTGTGAAAAAAAAATGCAAGTGTTTACCAATATTTCATTCAATTCGGTAGGTTTTGTTTCAAATTATCATAATAATTAGATGTATGCCTTCTTCTAGAGGTCATGTATACTACAAAATGATGATCAATAATTGATCACATTATCCAAACATAATTTCATGGCAACACTTGATATCATATATATTTCATTTTCCAGTATCATATGAATTAAGAAATCAAACTAATTACATATTTTGTTCATGGCTCTTCTGGACCATAAGATTATTATTCTCACTCGATGGTATCTCAATCTTTATTCTTTAATTAGACATTTCATGTTTTGTATGAGACTTCGCCAATGAATACATAGACTTATTGAATCTCACATACTCAAACTTCAGGTTGAGATATTGATGATGTAGTCATATTGATTTTTCATGACTTTGATAATAATTGCAATATTCAAGATATAAAATATGTAGGGCTGGGTATTTAAATACATCGTATATAAGTTCTTCAGGAACTCTTCTTACATGAATCATAACAAGTTATTATTAAAACGACGTCATCAATAATTTCATCACTATTGTAAGCCCATTGAAATATAAATATTTCTTTGTAAGTTCCCATCAATATTGTATATATGACTTATTATACATTGGACAGACATTCACACATACCACAATTATTATATAGAAACTAGCTAGTGCATGAAATATGAGATATATAAATCATGATAATATATTGAACAAACTTTACAATAAGTAATGCATCTAACAACTTCCTAAACATGCAATAAATAATTCATTAACCTATGACTAACGCATGCACATGGACATAAGATTCAAATTAATGCAAGACACTGTATAGTGTGGATTTAAACATCCATATTTCATTGGACTTCTGGTCCATGATAAACTTTTGATCATTATCATTGTGTCGACATAAAAATGGACATATATTTCAGATCCCTTATTCACTAGTCCATTCTATCATGCATATGCATATCATTCGTCGATTCAATTGTGTACACCTCAGGTGCAAACCTCATCAACTCAATAAATTTATTATAATATTCATTAATGGTCATATTCCCCATCCTCAGATTGGTAAACTCCATGCATTTCTGCTTCTTCAGGTAGGCGGGATAAAACTTGTCTCTTATGGCCTTCTTCAATTCTTTCCACCCAAAGTTAGGGGTTTCTAAAAGCCTAGTCCGGTTTTGACTCCACCATAGGTCAGCTTCTTCCCTCAAGTAATAAACAGCATTATTAACTTCAATTCTTCAGGACAGTTAATGGCATCAAACAACTTGTCAAATTCCCTTATCCAATTCTCTAAACAAGCAGGATCCTCCTTCCCAAGGTAAGTGGGTGGTTTTGCAGCTGCTACCCTCTTAAAAACTTCCCCAAATTGATCTAAGTCGTTGCTACGATTCCCCTGACTCACCAGTTGCCTCGTGCTTTGAGCAATGGTAGTTAGCTTCCTAAGAGTAGAGCTCATTTTGGAACCAGTGCGTCTACTATTTCCGGCTCTTAGAGACATCCTGAATAACTTAAAATAACAAATAATACACATTTATTATATGAGAAAATTTCATAAAACTCTTATTAAATATTGAAACTCCATATTTAGCCACACAGGCTTATTAAAATAATTAATTCATTTTGTCACTACAAATTCATAAGGGCCACTAGTTGGCTTACTAAACAAAACAATTTGCTATTAATGGAAGAAATCAATCAATTATTATTCTGAAGTTCTACTCTTGGTTTTAGCTTGCTGGATCATCTTTCTGGCCACGTCACCTGTGTTTCCTGTGGAAAGTTGAGGGGAATCAGTTTCTAAAGGTTTAGCCATGTGGGTTGGAATTTGGTTACATTCAAGCAAGAAGGTAGGATAAAATTCACTATAAGTTGGGCTACGGCACGAGCCATAGCTAGAGTTGCAGTTTGGGCTAACATAGGGGCCAGGGTTACGGTTTGTACTGTGTTTTGGACTAGATACTCGACCTCTTGGGACAAGGGGTTCAGTAGTATGAGGTGGGGATTCAAAGTCATTTGGGTGAGGGATTTCTAAGTCATCGGATGATGTATAGTCAAGATGCAAACGTGGAGGTGGTAAGGGTGGCATATCATAGTTTAGATTATTTAACTTTTGGACTTCTTGAGGTGTAAGCCGAAGAGGAATTTCAGCAACTGTTGGTCTTGGGATTTGGCTCCAATCAACTTCGGCGAAATGTAGGTCTGCTTTAAAATTGGTTAAGGTTCCTAGCCATTTTCCTTCATGCATATAGGCTTCAATATTCCACAACCCATTTGGTTTAATTAAATTTCTATAATTTCGGATTAATGTATTATATTTAGGTGTGTTGGGTAAGTGAACTAAGGCCAGTAGGATGATCCATGGTTCCTCGATCATAAATTTCATATTCCTGTGTCTTTTTACATCAGTAGCATGCCAAACAATGTCTGTTATAAAGTCACGCACAGATATAGCATCCGATTTTACTAGCCTTTGATCAAAGAAATGTCTTCTAATAGTTTCCATCATCTGTGATAACACAAACTATTTAAGTAAGCAATTCAAATTTCCTCAAGGATAAATCCAAAATGATTACCAATGGAACCAAAATTCCATAACCACACAAATAACTAGACGACCCTAATTATACTTAGACTAATGCACATTAGGTGTTTACAAAATCAAATATTTTCAATTCATTTTGTTTTCGAAAATAATAATGTACTCGATTCTTGAAATTGGACGGTCGAGCCCGCGTCTCCCAGGAAAGTTACCTACAGCGTCGAGGCGAGCCTTTCCTAGACAGAGAGTCGTACCCATTATAGGCCTCCGAAGAGAACCCGAGCATCCTTTTCTCAATCACCTTTCCAAATAAGAAAATAGTTTTTTATAGAAAATAATTTTACTTCGAAGAATGCGAAACTCTATCTATCCTATATGCCCATCTTAAGTCTACCCATAAGTTTTATTTTTCAATTTTAATCTTTCGTAGACCCGGAAATCTGATACCACTTTGTAACACCCCCAAATCTCCCTCTATGTAAATACTATATTTATACGTATACAAATATCGTAGAGATAGACTTGGGCGTATTACCACCACGTGAAAACGTAAGGCTTATTTAATTACTCAAACTACAGCGGAAAAATAACTAACTTTTATTAATAATATGAATAATTATAATAACTGTTTCAAAATAAGCTAATAAAAAACTTGTCCATACATAAATAAAATTAATTCCTATCTATGTGATCCCAATCCTGACTCTAGTATGCGTACGAACAACTTCACACCTGAAATCAAGACTGCTTACCAAAATGGTAAACAGGGCGAACCAAAACAAAAAGGAAAACAGATTAGCAAAAACGCTAAGTACGTATAAATGCAAGGCATGTAAATACTTTTATTAGGCAAACATGCTTTCGAAACAACCATCTAAATTTAAACCTGTCACGAGTCACTTTCCAAAATAAAACTTTCCAAAAATAATTAAACCTTCCTAGGGTAGTAATATCCATCAATAAAAGCTTTCCAAACCAATAGATTTCCAATTTATAAACTTCTCAATTTTTGATATACTAGTTATCGACCCCCACGCGCGCGATGCGCGCGCTCCATTTGGCGAATCGGAATAAATTTGCATAGCTCATAAGGTAAATGTGTAATTAATTTGTTGTATTTTGATATAATATTTGTTGCATCAACATATACAATGTTATTGCTATTTATGGATTAGTAATGTCGTAACATGAATTTTAATTATGGGTCGTTCTTTTTTATGGGAATGGAGTGGTTTTTGTTGTTGTACCAAATTAACAAAAGATAATTTTATGGCCCATCTATTAAGATATTGATTTGTAAGTTGAATTAGGCCTCGCCTAGCTTATCTTAAAATTTTATACATGTTCAAATTGATAATATACATATTTAAATTGATACATTTGTACTTGATATCTACTATTTGTTTGTAAATTTTATACATGCTTAAATTGATAAATTTATATTTGCAATTTATGAATTGTTTTAGCCGGATCTGATCAATGAGCATATAGATTTGGGTTAAATTGTGTTTTTTGTATGGTCGATGCTCCAATTTTTCTCTTTCTCTTTCTCTTCCTCTCTCTATCTCATCATCTTTCCTTCATAACCCATATTTCTATCTATCCCATTTTTTCTAACTTTTTTTTCACCCGACCTTTATCCCTTCTAGCCTACCCCTTATCTCTTTTGAATTGGTATCTCTATCTTCTGGCCTACCCTATTTCTTAGCCCTCTATGTCTCTCTCTTCAAACCCTTCTCTTTCCTAGTTCCCTTTCTCTCTCTCGATGATTCTCTCTATTTTGGCCCTTGTTTCTCTACCTCCTTTTCCCTTTCTCTCCTTTACCCCTTCCTCTCCTCCTCTATCTTAAGTAACCCCTGACCGACAAACCTCGGACTCAGTAATTCTTCAAGTAACCCCTGAATAAACCCTCAAGTAACCGCTGACTGAGTAACCCCTAACCGAACTCTTTAAGTAACCCTAACCAAATTACTCAAGTAACCCCTGATCGAACTCCTTAAATAACCCCTTACCTTGTAACTCGATTAACCCCTGACCGAGTAACTCGAGTAACCCCTGACCAATTAACTTCTCGAGTAACCCTTGACTGAGTAATTCGAGTAACCCCTGATTGAGTAATCCCTCAAATAACCCTTAACCGAATGAACCTCTCGAGTAACCTCTATCTAAGTCCCACAAGAAACCCCTGACCGAGTAACTCAAGTAACCCCTAACTGCATAACTCGGATAACCCCTAAGAAAATAGCTCGAGTAAATCCTGCCACACGGTGTAGCTTGCTGCACCAAAAATTTGGTGTGTGATAATATATGTTGTGACATAATTGAGATCAAATAAGCGAGAAAAGATAAAACAATAATCGAAAATTATAGGTCGCACTTACTCCCTCTCTCTCTCTCAAGCCTTCTCCTTTGCTCTTTATTAATATATCATATACTCTTCTCTGTCCTTTTCTCTCAGTTCGTTCTCTATTTATCATTCTCTTTATTTCTCTTCCAACCCCCTTGCATTTCTCCTACCCCTATATTTTTTTTGCCTCTCTCTATCTCATCCTCTTTCCTTCATAACCCATATTTCTATCTCTCCCATTTTTTCTAAATTTTTTTTCTCCCGCGTTTATCCTTTCTTCTAGCCTACCCCGACCCTTATCTCTTCTAAACTGGTATATCTATCATTCGGCCTACCCTATCTCTTAGACCCTCTTTGTCTCTCTCTTTTCACCCTTCGCTTTTCTAGTTCCCTTTCTCTCTCTGTCAATGATTCTCTCTATTTTGGCCTTGTTTCTCTACTTCCTTTTTCCCTTCTCTCCTTATCCCCTTCCTCTCCTCCTCCATCTTAATTAACCCCTGACCGACAAACCTCGGACTGACTAATTCTTCAAGTAACCCCTGAATGAACCCTCATGTAAACGCTGACCGAGTAACCCCTGACCAAACTCTTAAGTAACCCTTACCGAATTACTCAAGTAACTCCTGACCGAACTCCTTAAATAACCCCTTACCTAGTAACTCGAGTTCCCCTGACCGAGTAACTCGAGTAACCTATGACCGAGTAACTCCTCGAGTAACCCTTGACTGAGTAATTCGAGTAACCCTTGATTAAGTAATCCCTCAAGTAACCCTTAACCGAATGAACCTTTCGAATAACCCCTATCAAAACCCCATAAGTAACCCCTAACCGAGTAACTCGAGTAACCCCTAACTGCATAACTCGGATAACCCCTAACAAAATAACTCGGGTAACCCCTGCCACACAGTGTGGCTTGCTGCACCAAAAAATTGTTGTGTGATAATATATGTTGTGACATAATTGAGTTCAAATAGGCGAGAAGATATAAAAACAATAATTGAAAATTATAGGTCGCACTTACTCCTTCTCTCTTCCTCGAGCCTTCTCTTTCGTTCTTTATTATTATATCATAAACTCTTTCTTTGTCCTTTTCCATTAGTCCTATTCTCTATTTATCACTCTCTTTATTTCTCTTCCAACCCCCTTGTATTTTTCCTGTCCCTATATTTTTCTTTTTAGCCTTTTTTTATCTCATCCTCTTTCCTTCATAACCCATATTTCTATCTCTCCCATTTTTTCTAACTTTTTTTCTCCCGCCTTTATTCCTTCTTCTAGCCTACCCCTTATCTCTTTTGAACTGGTATCTCTATCTTTCGGTCTACCTTATCTCTTAGCCCTTCTTTGTCTCTTTCTTCAAACCCTTTGCTTTCCTAGTTCCCTCTCCCTCCCTCCCTCCCTCCCTCCCTCAATGATTCTCTCTATTTTGGCCCTTGTTTCTCTACCTCCCTTTCCCTTTTGCTCCTTCTCCCCTTCCTCTCCTCTTCTATCTTCATCTTTCTCTCCTCTCATTGTGGTTGTATACACATAAAACATCACTTACTCATGAAATAATGAAGATATCAATGTTTGTTAGTGATTTCATAGCTCAAGTTTTGGTAATTGTATCATAGATTCATGGGGTAGTATAAGTGTATAGATTATCTGGTTCCATCACTGGCTCACTGCTATGCTCGATCAATTTATTATATTGTGTTCCCATGATGCATATTATTAGTAAAATAAGGCATGAAAGTTGGCAAAATTAACTTTGTAAGATCATGATTCATTACTCAAGAAATAAGCATGAACTAATATTGGTATATACTATTATGTTATGATGCTCAAATTAAAACAAAGGGTTTTAGAATAATATAGGTACAAAAGTGCGTCTTTTGATCCGATGGATAGAGGGTAAATTACAAGAGTTTACTTAATGTTATAGGAATATGAGTACAAAAGAGTAGTTAGATTTTCCATTTCAAAAATAAAAATTACATAATCTCTGTTCAACTCTTTTTGGCATACATCCCCAAATTTCTTGCTAACTTTTCTTGTTGATTTGTTTTACCTACTTCCAATTGTTTTCTTGCGGTATCTTTGATTTTCTGTAGAAAGCTTCCCTGAAACATAATGTAAATGATTAAGTACAATGTGATATTTGGCATAAGATTTAATTCAATCTAATCAGAGATTTACCGGCCAGGCTTGAAGACTAAATTACAGTATGCAAACCACGTCATAATAATACCCCCCAAAAAAAAAAAGCTCAATTGTGATTAAAAATGATTTGAGTAGATTAATAATATTGCAATCCTCTGAAATTAGCTAATGGGTGCTGAGATTACCCCCGTGTAACCAATTCCTAACAAGCTCAAAATTTCAAAAATGCCAACAAAGGTAGCCTGTAAATTACTTGCAAGATAACAATTTATTTACCCATCTGTTAGTATGTTTTATAGTACAATTATTCTAAGTTCCCTAAGAAAATAGTATGACTAAACCTCTCGAGTAACCCCTAACCGAGTACACCCCAGTTCCTATTTAACCCATCAAGATTGTGACGTAGTCCGTATTATACTATTATGCAATTATACATCTAAAAATGGGCATGTCATGCATGGAACTCTCCAAAGTCCAAACTGTTAAATCACTATATATATATATAGTTCCAACCTAGGTAGGACTCGAACCTACACATACGTGCAATTGCACATTGCTCTACCATTTGAGCTAATAGGCTTTCCATAAACTTTATTGGAATCGACATAAATTATAGCATCATAAATGCCCAAACATAGCATAGATTTGAAAAGCAAATTACCTAATGCCAAGGTGAAGACAAAGCATCAAACCTTGAGAATGAAGTTTAATTAGGTTTCATTTATCCACTCTTGCTGCTCTGCGCCATCCTCACACCCCCAGTCACCCAACATCATAAGCCCAGCTTGCTATGACACAATAAAGCCCACCACAAAGCAGACACATGACTACATAAAAGCACGTCTATCTGGTCCAAACACACAACATACTCTTAATGTGTCAACCACAAAGCAGACACATGACTACATAAAAAAAATGAGTATAATTAAGCTTCAACCTCTAAAGCTGATCCAATCCCAAGATAATGCTAGATTTACGATATCAACATAAAGTGATAAAACATTTAAATTTTCTTGAGTCCTACTGTGTCAAGCAACTAATAATATTGATATTAACTTTTAATTTGCTTACTCAGTTCCCATTATTCTAATCATATGTCATAACACAAAAGCCTATGATACTTCATTTCAGATGGACCACAATATATACTCCGTATTTGCTAGCAACAAGCCAACAACACACAGAGCCACAAGAAAGAATTTAAATCATAGAATGTAAGCATATGCATCATACAAGATTGAGTAAATAATTAAAATTATAATCCATTTAGGTTTTTTTTTTTAAAACCAAAAATTATAAAAAAAAAAAAAACCAAAATCAATTTTGCGTTCACCTTCTCCTTTTGCTTTCCTTGACTCAACGTCTCCACCTCTGCAATTTTAACCAAAAAAAGGAAATTAAATTCCTTTCTATTAATCTCAAATTAAAATCTACATATTATTGACCAAAATAGCGATATAATTGAGGAATATAACAAAATTGAAAACTTATTTTGTATGAACTCAACCAAATTAACCTGAAATCATATTGTCAATTCCAACAGGATTAGGACACAATTGAAATGAATAACATAATTGAAAAGCTAGAACAGAAAATAATACATCAAAAATAGAATTAGGTCAAAATTACATAAGAAATTGAAAACAAAAATATCAAATTCAGAACGGAGAATAGAAGGGATTAGAAGGAAAGCTTTTTTTTTTTTTTTGAACAGGGATTAGAAGGAAAGCTTTAAAACTTAAATTTTCATCAGAAAAGCATGAACTTTGGATTTTCTGCAAAAACAAGTGAAGGATTCCAGGCTCATTGGTTGAAGCACAACAAAAATTAAGTTGGATTACCTATATAGTTTCCCCCGGACGTAGCCATTGCCTTCTAATCCCTTCTATTGAACCCTAAAATATTCAAAAGTAAAAAAAAAAAAAAATTAAAAAAAAAACAAAAAAGAGAAGGCAAGGGTGGGTAATTTTCGATCAAATTGAACCCTAAAATATTCAACCCACAAATATTAATAAAAACACATTACCTTGTAAGCTGCTTCTATAAAGGGGAAAGCTCAGAATTTGCTTTAATGGAGGAACGGAAAAAGCTCGGAAGCTGCTTCTATAAAGAAAAATAAGAAAGCCGCATATTCGATGATTTAATAATGAAAAGAAAATAATTTAACCACAAAAGCTATTTCTATGGAGGGTGAAAACCTAAAAGCCGCTTCAGAAACAGATTCAATCAACAAGAACAAGCAGCATCCACATAAATTCACATAAATCGACAAAATTGAAACCAAAAACTAACTTCGTTAATCAAGGGAAAATCAAAGAACTCACCTTGAGGAGAGAGAAGAACCAAATTGCAAACAGATTTCTCAGCTTGAACCGCTACAACATCACCGCGATAACCTCGGCTATATCAGAATTGTTCCCAATGGTCAATGGCTTTGTGATAAAAAGATCGTTTAATCTAATATTATTTGCGATTTCAGAAAAAAGAAATAAACAAAATTGAGGAAATGGATATTAAAGAGAGCTCACTGACGCTATAATCGCCGGGATTAAACCGGTGATCCGATCGTGAATTGCAGGCGAAGTTTGCAGATCTGGAAATAGCAGATCTGACGCTCCATCAATAAATCTTAAGAAAACAAGAAAAAAAAAAAAAAAAAGAAAAATTGTATGAACGAGAAAACAACTACAAAAATCAACATCAATTATTTTAAAATTAAGATTTTAGTTGAAATTACAACAAACAATAAAAATAAAATTGAAGAAGCATTTACCTCCCCTAATTCAGCATCCCGCATAAGATCAACCTCGGTGAGACTCGCAAGTAAAATCGGCTAATTAATTCTATACTTCTTAGTTCTTACTAAGCCGGAAAGCTACGGTCGACGGCGGAAGAACCGAGGTCAAAGCCGCTTCCATTAGAAGAGTCTCGTAGCTACAATTCACTATTCAAAAACGAAAATCAAAAATGAAAATTGAAAGAAACAACGAATTTCACAAGAGCAAAAGCGAGCAGAAAATCAAAAGCAAAAAGAACTGAAACAGATCAAAATTTTACAATTCAATAATTTAGGGAAAATCAAAGAACTCACCTTGAGGAGAGAGAAGAACCAGCTAAGCAATTTGGCAGGCAGAAGGCTGGGAGTTAACAGATCATCAACAAGCAAAAAAGCAAATAAGGGCAAAAATGTATTTGTACTTTTTGAGGGGCAAAAGAGTCACCACACTATTACTAAGGAGTTTTTCAACTTGCAACTTCTCACTTTTAATAGTTATATAGATTTCTAAACCAATTTTCCTCACCTAAGTATGCACACCCCCCAAGCAAGTTATACTATACTCGAGGAAAGACCAGATCATACAAAGCTCATGGTCTTACTTAACCAGTCCCGGGTAGAGGGACAATTAAAATATCAAATACTCAGGCTCACAATGAGCTACAAATTAATTAAACCAAGTGATTTATAAATCAAACAACTTTTATTAAATCGATCAACATTTAGAGATCAAACCTTCAAATCATAAAATTATATACTTTAACTTGTCATGAAAATTGTTAACTTAAATATTCATACGCAACATTTATTCAAACAATCATTAAAACAAACATTATACAAAACACGCATTCAAAATTGTATCAAGTACCTAGCCACCTATACGTACCTTGATCACGAGAACAAAAAGGTATGACTACTAAACTTGACCACGATCGGGAGACTCCTCCTACACAAATAAAATAACCTTAATTAATATAAGGTTAACAAAATAACACAAACCAAAAACACCATTCTATTGTGCATGAACTTCCTAAATATTAACCTTTATCAAAATAGTGCTATTAGTATAGTTGGGTGGTCGTTGGTGGCGGATGAGGTGGTTGTTCGGTGGCAACAACTTGGTTATGGGTTGCAGAGTTTATTTAAGCTAGATAGAGTAAGAAGAAGGGGTGATGAGATAGAGAGTAGAGAAGAGGATTTCTGATTTTTGGTGTGAGGAATTTGTGAAGTGTTGAGGGTCTATTTATAGTGTTTAAGGGGTAGTATGATAGAGTTAAAGGAAGTTTGAGATTAACATGGGAACATGATAAATGTAAGTTTGTTAAATGAATATGAGTGAAATTTAGTCTAGGTTAATTCATGTGGGAAAATACAATGGAAAGGATTAGGGATGGAAGTAAGATAAATGCTAATATGGTTAAGAAAGATAAATTAAGAGATTTAAGTTAAAAAAAATGATAAATTAAGAGATATTAAGAAAATATTTTCAAAAATTAGGGGTATTACAGTTTTGCAATGATATCTTAATACATTTTCAATTGGTACCATTATGACTTTCTCATATCATAGGCCATCTATTTAGTTCAGATATCTATACCACTTCTATCTGGCGTATTTCTCACACTATGGTATTAATATACTATCACACTATTAAAAGTGTCAACTGCACTATCTTTTCATATATCACATCTTTATTTTAGAACCGATTATACAATCTACACTTCAGGTGTAATGATTCAAGTATATACAATTGGCAAGCTTTATCTCAATGTGCAACATATCTTGATAACATATGGATGAAAGTTGGTAGAATACATTTCAAATTACCATTATATATAGGGATCATTAATTTTTGCCAACTTACTCCAATTCTCCCCCTGAGTTGGTAAACTATCTCATATATAAGGGCATCACAATTCTTCACCAACTTAGTATACAAATTTGCGATAAAATTCATTTCATGGGAGGATCATAATCAACAAAATTTATCTCTCAGAAGAATATATTAAACAAGCTTTAATCTCTTCTAGAGAGCAATTTTAAATCATTTCTTCATTATACATTGCATAACATATATGTATTTATTATTAAATCTTTCATAATTTGTTCTCTTCAGGAGATCAATAATTCAACATTAATGGGGAGACATATGTTGTGCAGTTGAATTTCCTTCTTTTCTATTTCTTATGTGCTGACATACAATAGCCCCAATCAATAGAATTATTATACAAGCATATATCACTTGCTTGTAATTCTACTAAGTGGTGATCTTTTGGATCTTTAAAAATTTAAATAGTGTATTTGATGAGTTTCTGGTCACTTAATAGTTGACAATAATATATAAGTTATTTTAGTGAACTTCTGGTCACCCATTACTCTTTTATATAAGAAACAAAAACCTATTAACTCTTGAAAATTTCATCAATACAAATGGTTATATATGAATCATCAAAATCCAAATATAGCTCAATCTCAATGTTATGTCTTGCCATTCAATTCATTTCATATATCTAACATTTGAGAGGGCGTCAGCACATTATCAAATGAAACTTCAGGTTTCCATAACGGGTAATTATTCAACCCGGATGGCCTAATTTAATCATCACATCCAATCACTTCTCTAAATTGAAGTCTAGTCAGTTTTCCAACACTAGTGATCACTTTATTAAGCTTATGTTATGCATGACCATGAATTTGATGAGATATTTGAACACCAACATGTGTTTCTTTATACAAGTAGCAAGACAATTAACAAATATTTTATCCAATAATTTACTCATACTCTGCTGGAGTTTTGACTATAATCTTGATACATGTTAATCTTGTTGGATATTTGATGTGTCTATTTTATATAGTTTTTTACCCCCGTCCCTTGGTCATAATTAGTAGTGTTTTTGGCTCTTTCGAGCCACTTTTATTACTAATTTGTGTTTTCTAGTGTTTTCGCAGTTTTAGTTATATTTTACAGGAAATTGCACTTTTGGAGAATTTTCCCGGGCATTATGGATCAACTACGGAAGCTAGAAGGACACGACCACTTTTGAAGCCCAGGATCGGTGAGAGCCGATGATTAAGGGCTCGGTATGAGACACCGAGGCTATTGGATCGTTTAATCAAGACCCAATGAGGAAACTTAGATTGGGCCGAAGAATCGAGCCCAATCGAAATCCGAGCCTCGAAGAAGAAGACCGGGCCTGATCGGGCAAGCTTGCGCCTGATCGGGCGGGCGTGCATAAGAGAGCACCAGCAAGAAGGCGCGCCCGATCGGGTGAGCGTTAGCTCGATCGGGCGCGGCTGCCCCGATGGATCTTGAAGGAAAAGGCGAGCCCGATCGGGCGCGTGTTTTCTCAAGACCTGATTAGTTAGTTTTAATTTTTGTTTTAGGAAACGTTTAAGTACGAGATTTGTACGTAATTTTGGATTACCTTCTTTCTTAGACTTTCTCTCTCTACTTAGGATTTTTCTCTCTCTACTTAGGATTTTTCTCTCTCTTAACTTTTCTCTCAACTCTTGTTCTTAATTATTTCCATTAATACAGATTAGTTTGGTAACTATTTATCTTCTCTTAATCTTAGTTGTTTATTTTACTCCTTTCATCATGACTTGTTTTATTGCTTTGATTAGTTTAGTTCTTACTATGTGTGAGTAGTTTTCTTTCTAGGGTTTATGGGGTAATTTATGGTTGTTAATTGTCAATGCTAGATTAATTTCCTATTGATTGATTTAATGCTCTGTGACTAGATTTGCGCAGATCTTTTATGCATGAGTTTAACAATATTGATTCGAGATTCGACAGATGAGAATTGATGTTTAGGTCTAGTTTCAATAGGCAGATTAATTTATAAATGGTTGAGTCGAGATTCAAAAGATGAGATTTAATACCGGTAAATTAATTGTGTGATTGTAATACGTAGCGAAAGCCCTTTATAATCTGATTAATATATGCATTGATGAATGATTATTATATTTTACCCTGGAATATTATTTATTGGTGAACATGTACCCTAGATCCTTTTATATATTATTTTCTCCCTATTCTTGATCTCCATAGTTTAGTTTATTATTCAAATTTACATAATTGGTTACCTAATAATCTAGATCATATTAGTTAATTAGGAATATAAAGATCCATTTCTCTGTGGATTCGACCCTACTTCCCTATCTACATTAGTTAGAGGATTTAGGTATTACTTTTGATTAGGGGATACGACTTTACCCTGTCAAAATTTGGCGCCGTTGCCGGGGAAACGGTTTTATTTTTATTTCTGATTGTTTTTGTAGTCTAGATTATTTTCCTTTTGTCTCAGAGAGCGTTAGTTCTCTGAGGCAAATCTCACATTTGCTTCTAGTTTTTATTTATGCCCAGGTGTTCCAGATCAGGGTACATCCCATTTGATCCTGAGATCGAACGTTCCTTCCATAGACAGAAAAATCTCTACAAGCAAATCCTGGCGGATTCTGGTGATAATAACAATAATCACCGCGATCCTCCAACTGGTTCTAGCGATTCAGAGGTATCATCAGATCCAGAATCAGAGATGACGGCTCCAAAGAAGCTTAGTGATTATTCACAACCAAAGCTTACAGATTTTCCACATCTCACCCCCACTCCGGCTCTTGATGGGGTTCAATTCAAAATTAAACCTCAATTTATAACGATGATAGAGAGGAAGCAATTTAGTGGAGCCAAGGGTGAAGACCCAAATCTTCACATTGCCGACTATTGTCAATATTGTAACACCATCAGGCAAGCCGGGGTCACTCAAGACCAAATCAGGGAGATTCTCTTTCCTTTCTCTTTAACTAGAAAAGCTAAATTGTGGTTTAATGGCTTAAATAGAACTGCGCTTGGTATAACTGACCGGGAAACTCTTGTTTTGAATTTCTATAACAAGTATTATCCTGCAGAGAGAACAACCGTACTACGGAGTGCGATTCAGAACTTTGCCCAAGAAGCTGATGAATCTTTATATGAGGCTTGGGAGAGGTTCAAGGATCTACAAAGAGACTGCCCCCACCATAATTTAGCACAATGGCAATTAATCCAAGCCTTTTATAATGGCCTTGGAAATTCTTCTCGAATAATTTTAGATTCTGCAGCTAGTGGGAGATTTATGAATCTTGATGTTGAAGATACAGGTCAGGTTATTGAAGACATGGCGATACACAATTCCCAATATGGGAATCCTAGAGGATTTGCGAACAAGGGGAAGCATAGTGTTGACTCTGTATCCTTTTTGCAAGCTCAGTTGACCTCTATTTGCCAAAAATTAGATAATCTTAGCTCCGCCAATGTAGCTAATGTTTCTGCGATTAATAATAATTCTAATGAGGCTTTCTGTGAAAATTGTGGTATTGTAGGTCATTGGGAGCAAGATTGCAGGAGTTCCGTGGAGCAAGTTAATGCCTTTCAAGATTATAGGCAGAATAACCCATACTCCAACACCTACAATCCTGGGTGTCGGAATCATCCGTACCTTTCCTATCGGAGTACTATTGTTCAGAATCCACCACCACAAGAACCACAGGCGCCACAACA